TGAGAAGTACGCGAATTGCTCCTCTCCTAATCCGACGCCTTCTCAATACCGAATCCAAGAGGGGTACTTGCTTGTCCACACACGGGGGAAGGACCTTCTTTGCGTACCGAGTGACCCTCACTTGTGTACACGGCTTCTTGGCGAGTTCCACAATGCTCCCGCCACCGCACACTTTGGAATCAATCGCACGATTGGCCGACTTCGCAAGCGATTTTGGTGGCCCGGCCTTCTCGACGACGTCACACGCTATTGCGAGTCATGTGAGGTTTGCCGACGCTGCAAATCCCGCAACCATCGTCCATAAGGCGAGTTGCAACCATTACCGGTCCCCTTGCGGCGAAGGGAAGCGATTGCCATGGACATTACCGGCCCGTTCCCCAAGCACAAGACCGGCGTGGATGGGATTCTCACATTGGTCGACCGACTCACCAACTTCGCCATGTTTTTGCCTTGTCGCTCATGCCGAGGCACCGGAGTTGGCCGCGGTTCTTTACGCCGGTTGGGTTCGAACCAAGCATTACCCCAAGGAAATCGTCTGCGACAGCGACACTCGGTTCATGTCCGATTTTTGATTGGCGCTCATCAAGCGATGGGGCTCATCTCTCAAGCCCAGTTCAACTCGCCAATCCCAGACCGATGGCCAAACGGAGAGGGCGTACCAAACCGCACAGGTTCTCCTTCGCACTCTCATCCGTCCTGACCAGAAGAATTCGGTTGAGCGGCTGCCGGATGTCGAGTTGGCCTACAACTCCTCCATCCACCCGGCCATTGGGATATCGCCCTTCGAGTTCGAGCACAGCTCGCCGGTCACTTCTCCGTTGGACACCATCATTCCACGAGCGGCCGAGAGCGACGACCATCCTCTGTTCTTACGACGAATGCAAGAGCTTCTTGTCAAGGCAAGCGACCAGACGGCTAAAAGACGCAACAACACATGAGCCAGCAGGCCAATCACCAGCGTCTCCCTTGCCCATTCCGCGCCAGCGACCTCGTTTGGGTTTCCGCCGCGGAATTCAGCCTTGACCACGATATCTCTCGCAAGCTCCTCCCAAAATGGATGGGGCCCTGGCCGATCGTGGTACCCGCTGGGGAGGCACCCGAGGGACCTTCCTTCACTATTCAGGTGCCCTGCCCACTTGCCCGTCTACCCGGTCTTTCATTGCTCCAAGTCGGCTCTTTACACGCAAGCCGAACATGACAATTTTCTCGGGCGACGATCGCAAGACCCACCCTCTATGGACGGTTTTCAAGAGGTCGGCGACATCATCTCCCAGCGACGCTACGGCAACAGGCCAACCGAGTACTTGGTACATTTTGCATACCGCACACACCGAGCTGACCGTTGGTTGACCCGTGCGGAACTGCAAGCAACAGCTCCAGACGTTCTCGCACACTACGAACACAAGATGCAAGGCAAGCCGGTCTCTTCGGCTCCACGCCGCGCCCACGTCCAGGTTCCACCTTCAGATCGTCAACTTCGCCCTCGCCCCGGCTTGACTTCATAAGGAGGGGGGGGGGTTACATGCTGCGCCTGCACACGAGGGCCATTTTCCAGGCCCTGCGTCCCTCAGGCTGAAAGCCTGAAAACCAGGACCTACAGGCCGCGTGTCCATTCAGCTCGAAAGCCTGAAAAACACGAGCCTACAGACCCTGTGTCGTTTCAGACTAAAAATGGCAGTAGCCTTTTTAGCCTGAAACGGAGGGCCATTTTCGGTCTGTTATCAGACCGAACTGCCCTGAGATTGATATACAATCTTGACTGAAAATAGTGAATTATACCTTAAAAAACAATAAGTTGTATCAATAAGTTGGCACCAAACCAGGGTCTTAGCCTGTTCCCACGACAACTGCAGCGCCAGGCCCTGGCTCAGTTCGGCATTGGCAAGAGCAGCCTCCTGGACTGCCCGCCCTGCAACTGCAGGTACTCGGAGGCAGTCAGGAGGCAGGCCGAGGTAGTAGATAGGGACTTCCCATGCGCTTCAGGGGTAGGCAGGAGGCAGTCAGTAGTCTTCAGGATTCGGCAGCAGCACTCTGGAGGAGCGCTGAAGGAGTAGTTGTAGCGTTAGTAGTAGTCGTCGGCGCTGGGCGCTAGTAGCGTTAGTTGTAGTCTTCAG